TAGCGGTCCGCGTCAACGGGGGGCGACTCCATCACGGCAACCATGCGCCGAGGAGGCAAGGGGAACAAGACATATGGGACGTACCTGGCGTGAGGGCAGGGGCGACACGAGATTGCCAATCTGCAGTTTGCAGGCGTGCAGCAGGGGCGAGGGGGAAACTGGGGGAGGAGGGGGGGGGGAGATGGAGGAGCAGACGTGAGCAAGCAGAATTTCAGGGTTCACGATCCACACGAGGACGGGCAGACGGGCAGACGGAGTGAGGGCCGCAGCCTCTGTCGTCTCTCCTCTGGCTGAGAGCAGCTCAGCGCTGGTGCTGCTGCCGCGCTCCGTAAAAGGGGCTGCCGTGACTAAGCGCCCCGCGCCAAGCCTGCTCGGGTGTTTCAGCGCCGCAAGAACCTCCGCCAGTGCTTCTTCCACTCCAGCTCCAGCTCCAGCTCCAGCTCCAGCTCCATCCGCGATGTATATCTCGTCGTCTTCCTCCAGAAAGTCGAAGGGACGACAGAATCCAGCAGAAAACATTTCCGCACCAGAAATGTCAGGCGGCCCCGCCCATTGTCCGTCCGGCATGGTGCCACGGCCAAGGGCAGACGCCCTTCCTATCGGATGTCCCCGCCCTGCGATCTGATGGCATGTCGCTCATTGTACCTTGTTTGGGCCGGCCACAACACCGGAACAAAGAAGCCACCCGCCACGATGAGGCCACCCGCGGCCTCGCCGCCAATGATTCTCCGCCCTCCGCTGTGAATGTGTGCCTCGTCACCGCGGCGTGGTGCATCCGCTACGTCATGTTAGGACTGGTGAGGTCATCCCACCACCGTCCACGGTCATACAAAGTCTGGGCCAGAACACGACCTGACCGACTCCCGGGGCTTATACGGGCTATCTTCTCCTCATTCAAACCTACGAGCCTCTTATCTGGAAAGCATCACTAGCAAAATGGGGGACGCGGCCCAGCCGTTCCAGCGCCGCTCGTCGATCCATCAGATCCAACTATCTCATCAGTTCGACAAGAACTCCTGGGAGGCACCGCCGTCAAAGGTAGGCAGACCCCATCCACCGGAGGATCGACAGGCCAAGCTTGCGGGGTGGCTGACACCGACCTCATAGACCATCTATGCGGGGCTGTCTGCCCTGTTCGAGAACGATGGAGTGACCGTCGCCCTGGCGATTCGCGACACCACTTATCTTCTAGACTTCCACCAGCAGGATATCGTCGCCCAGGGCAGCCGGACTATCGATGAGGAAATCACGCACTATGTGCTGAAGCAGTTGTCGGAGTATAGCGAGGAGCACCTGGAGAAATTCATGGGGCTGGCCATGCCTACCTCCGTATCCCGGAAGTGCCCTAACCTTTGCTCGCGGCTCTGGGCCGAGCTCGATGTGATTCCTTTGGTTCTTCCAGAGGAGAGCAACATCGGCTCCGACCACGTCGTCGACCACCCCGTCCGGAGATCCACCAACTGGGAACTGAAGAGCATCGACGAGCAGGCGGAGTCTATGGGCCGGAAATGCGTCAGGTAGGCTTTCCATGGGGAGACCTTTGAGCACGTGCTGAACCGGTGCAGACTGTTTGGCCCGGAGAATATCCCCTTGCTGCAGGTCGGGTTCTTGGGCTTGGTGGAGGTCGACACCGCCTTCCATGTGCGCCTCACTAGCCTGGAGGATTTTCGCCAGACGGTTACTCAGAAGACGTGGGATGCGGTGCAGTATTATGCCGACGACCTGAAAAAGCGGGGCACCAAGATTGCCTTCTTCAGCGCGACCCCACAGGGTGGAGGCGTGGCGCTCATGCGGCACGCTCTCGAGCGGTTCTCCTACTCGCTCGGAACGGACATTAAGTGGTAGGGTTGGTTGCTTGAAATTTGAAATCACACATCTGACGATCGCATGCAGGTACGTCCCGAAGCCGCGGCCGGGCGTGTTCCGAATCACCAAGAACAACCACAACATCCTCCAGGGCGTGGCTCCCCCGGACGAGCGACTGAGCAGCGAGGACTGGGACAAGGTCATCGACTGGATCAACGAGAATGCGAAGCGATACTGGCTCTCCCCCGGGGGTCCTCTCCGACACCCATCCGAGGGCGGTGCCGATGTGATTATCGTCGATGATCCGCAGATGCCTGCCCTGATCCCGATCGCCAAACAGATGGCCCCAGATCGACCAGTCATCTTCCGAAGTCACATCCAGATCCGCAGCGATCTGATCGATCAGCCCGGCTCCCCGCAGGCAGAGGCGTGGGGCTGGATCTGGAAGCAGGCGCAGCAGGCGGACCTGTTCATTAGCCACCCTGTGAGCATCTTCGTGCCAAGCGAGGTCCCCTCCGAGAAAGTGGGGTACATGCCTGCTTCGACCGACTGGTAAGCACCCCCAGGAGATACTAGGAGCAGGGCTGACATTGGTTAGGCTGGATGGTCTGAACAAGAACATGCGCGAATGGGATGTCGCCTATTATGGTCGTGTCTTCAACTCTGTTTGCAGAAACACAAGCATGATGACCATCAACTACCCACACGGTAAGCAACTCCATCTCTGATAGGTTACACGCTCTAACAGATGCAATCACAGACGAGTACATTGTCCAGATTGCTCGATTTGACCCCTCCAAGGGGATACTAGACGTGGTGGATTCCTACAACAAGTTCTACCGACGGTTCACGGCCGCGCTCCCTGACAAGACGCCGCCCAAGCTGCTGATCTGCGGACACGGCTCTGTCGATGACCCCGACGGCTCCGTGATCTACGACTCGGTGCTCAACTACATCGAGCAAGACCTGCCGGACCTCGCGGACAAGATCTGCGTCGCCCGACTGGGCCCCTCCGACCAGGTGCTCAACGCGCTGATGTCGAAGGCCAAGGTCGCCTTGCAGCTATCCACCCGTGAAGGGTTTGAAGTCAAGGTGTCCGAGGCCATCCACAAGGGCACCCCCGTCATTGCAACCAAAGCCGGTGGCATTCCACTGCAGGTCGCAGACAAGCAGAACGGCTTCCTGGTGGAGGTGGGCGACACCGACGCCGTAGCGCAGCACCTCTTCGTGCTCTGCACGGACGACGAACTGTACGAGCGGACGAAGAAATTCGCGCTCGAGCACGTATGCGACGAGGTCAGCACGGTCGGCAACGCGTTGAACTGGCTGTACCTGTCGTCGAAGCTGTCCAAGAACGAAGCAGTCAAGCCCAACAAGCGGTGGATCAATGACATGGCGCGCACCGAAGCCGGTCAGGAATACACGCCGGAGGAGAACCGCCTGCAGCGGATTTCCCTGTAACCGCGCACCCATCCCATCTCATGTAGCCAGGAACGTTGTATGTATCTAGATTGTTGCCACTCTCCTGTCCATATACATAAACAAGACATAAACCAGCTGGGTATATTAAACACTCACCCACAAACACAGAAAACAAATCATAATCATCATCACTCATCCCCTCCCTCCCTCCCTCCCTCCCCCACTCCCTTTAAGCCTCACTTCTTCACCTCCCAACCACCCGATACCTCTCCCTCGCCAGTCCCCCCTCCGCCCCCTCAACCCCATACCCCTCCCCAACCTCCCCGACAATCCTAGCGGGCGCCCCACCCACCACACACCAACTCGGCACGACCATCCCCGGCGCCACCACCGCCCCATCAAGCACATACGCGAAATCCTTCAAAATCGCCATACTCCCAATCACCGCCTCCTTGCCAATATGCACATGATTCCCCACCGTCGCCGCCTCGACCACCGCCCTCTCGCCCACAAACACATGGTCGCCGATCTTGAGCGGATAGAACGAGTACACGCCCCGGTGCAGCCGCGACGGCGGGCGCAGGATCGCTTGCCGCGAGATATAGCTGTACCGACCGATAGTGATCGCGACTGAGGGGGTGGGTGCGGAGGGTGCGGACGCAGATGGATCAGAGGTGCTGGTGGTGCTGGGGTTGGTGGAGGAAGAGGAGGAGGAGGAGGAGCGGTAGAGGTCGCCCCGGATGACGGCGTCAGCTTGGATGACGGTTTTGCCGCCGAGGATGATGTGCTGCGTGCCGTGGATTTGGGATCGGCGGGAGATTTTGTTGCCTGTGTCCTTTTTTTTTTTTTTTCGGGGGTGGTTAGCTTTGGGTTGGGGTTAGGTGGTGGGAAGGGGGAGGGGCAGGTACGGTTTCGATGTATTCGCCCTTGGGCGCTTTAGGCGGCATTTTGGTGGTGTTTTGCGGAGGTTATAGAGGGATGAGAGGAGGCAACTGGGTTGGTTTGGTTCAAGTGTGCTCTGCAGGAGTATATAGTATCAATTGGATTGGATTGTTTGTTGGTGTATGCCAGACACGATGGATGCGATGCGGTCAGGCAAGGCGGAGCGGAAACTGTCGGCATTTCGGGGGCTCAGGCGGTGAGGACCCCGACCCAGGCCCGTCATGGTGCCTGACTGCCTGCCTGGCTGTCCCTGTCGGCCATATGGATTCGAATCGATCGGGCCCGCCTTTCTTAGCGCGTGTTTTGGGTCTCCTGGGTTCCGCTCCCGCATCGCATCGCTCGATCGGTCGGTCAGGGTTCTGTGCTTGATCGATTCCATCGGCGATGGCTGGCGGCTGAGACATTCGTGATCGGGATTTCTGATCGGATCGGACATTTTGTTGAGAGTAAAATAGGAGGGTTGGGAAACTTTGGGACCCGGGAAATAGAAAGCTTGCCATGTAAGCTTATTCTGTCAGATGCTTGGCTGGGGTATTCTTCTGATGCGACGTATGACATATATATATTTCTGTCTCCAGTTTTGTGTGATTGTAGTAGTAAACATTGGCAAGATGATAATTGAATGGAGTTGGTGAGTAGTGTTAAGAAGTGTGTGGTATATCATTATCTGACTTCCAGCATTAGGCAAAATGGAATCGAATCGGCAAAACCCTATGCTGGCAATGCTCGATAACAATAAACGTCATAAAACTAATTTAAAACAACAGTGAAACCAGACAAACAAAAACTAGGATGCTCCTGGGAGTCTGAGAGGGAAAAAAAATGATATGCGACACCTCTGGGACTCGAACCCAGGCGGGCAAACCAACAGGCTAGCTAGACCGGTCAGAACACTGGTGAATAGCAGGCCTGCCTTAACCACTCGGCCAAAGTGTCTATTAAATAAAAGATAACTAGCGTTTTTATTAGCCGGTTGCTTCTTCCATCATCATCGTCAACAACACGTCGGCTGGTGGCTCCATCCGTTTTCTACCTTTGACATCATTGTTCTTCTGGAGCTTTAGCCTACAATTACGCAAGCCCTCTGTCACAGGGGACGTTGGTTTATCAGAATTTATCTAACTACTTGGATTCTCACATCCAGCTGCAGACACCACATCTGTTGTCTAATCATGCTGTCATCCGGTTGAGAGCAGCGATATTATGCCAATCAGAATAGCGACATAAAGGGGCCAGTTGGTATCTAGCTCCGTTGAAGTGTTCTAGCCTGACGCAAATACCGTTGCTAGCTCTGGGAGCCTACAGAGACCCCGCTGTACACTGGAAGCCATAAACACTTGGCCATTTCGTGTTAGAGCCACGGCGTACCAGGCTGCGACAACACTGATCAACTATCCGACCACCCGTTGTCCGAGTACACCATATTTTTTTGGAAGGATATGAAGATATTCATTAATAGTTACAACTTGAAATCAGTCTATCGGGTTGCTGACATCGAAACAGACATAAATAAACACATGGTGTATGAAACAGAATTCATAACAATCATCAAATCAACACAAGGAACAAGCGTCTATACATCCGAGGACACCTCCATCTCCATTGCGACTGGCTCAAACTTGCGTGTCATGACCACCTTCTCCGAGTACCGGTCTCCCCGGCCCAGGTAACAGTTGATCTGACTGGGGTGGATAAACTGAAGCACCTCCATCGCCAGAAACATGAGCAGAGCATCGAAGATATAGATGAAGGCTTCGTGCTTCATCAGATACCCACTGTATCCCTGGAGATACTCCACCACACGGACAATAGACCGAATAAAGATGAGAGTACTGGAGACATAAAGTGCGGTCATGTGGCGACGCCAGACTTTCGACATCTCAACCGATTCACTGGTTGGGGTTTTGGACAGACGACTCTGGAAGATCACAGCGGTGATGATGAAGAAGCCGAAGAAGATGATCTGCACGAAGAGACCGCCGACAATAATGTGTTCACCGGTGGTGGGATCATTGGAGTTGGAGACCATGAGACCGGCACCTATGGCTGTTAGCTGCATGTTCCTGAACCTGAATAAAAAATAACCTACCAGACGCCTGCATCAGGAACGATAGAACATCGCCCGTCACGAATATCTGGGTCAGCCACCTCAGCCCGATGACCGAGGATTGTTCCGCATGGAGCATCCTGATTATGCGACCCAGGGTCATGTAGATGCTGGCAGCGAGGAAAGCGGGTGCGATGAGGATCAGAGCGCTTTGCATGGCGTACGCGCCTACCGAGTAATTGGGGCTTTGCTGCGACGAGAGCAGGCGTCCTACATATCCGATGGTTTCGACTACGGAAAAGAAGTTAGTGCCTAGATCGGGCAATGCGACAATCAACCAAGAGACTCACGAATGCCTCCGATAAAGAAGGGAATCATAAACCAAGATCTGGTCCCCACGAGCTGATAGAGGTGGAGAAGACTGCTGATGCCGAACAGGACAACGAAGATGGCGGCGGCGGCAGCCGAGGGCGTATAGTAGTAGAGGGTGAACTCCATTATGAGCAGCAATGAATGCAAGCAAAGAATATCAACAAAGCACTGTTATCAACCTGCGATGAAGCCACGATGAATACAACGAAGAACAGAGGGCCAACCTCTGCTTTTATGTCTCCCATCTGCCTAATTTTTCGCCAAGCAGACATGGCAACGGTCGCGATATACAACCGTTCGTAATCGGTCCCTGAGCGCATACGAACCCGAACCAGGGGTGGCTGGGCTATTTTTTGCAGTTTAAGTGGATACAGCAGCAGCCTGGAGGCCTCGTTCTCGTTGCGTATGCCCGATCGGGGAAGGGGGCATCTGGAACCCTGGGGCCGCCAGTTAGGGCCGGGAGGCGAGGTTATCCGATGGGCCCCTCGTACTCGTACCGTTACCCGAGGCCAGGCAGCCAAGGCAGATCTTATTGGGCCCAGTCGCCAGTCAGGGACGACCCATCAGGTAAACTTTCACATGGCATCTGTCCGTCAACTTATCTGCAAATAGATTCCCCACATACCCAATCCTTTAAACGATCTGTGTCCGCTCTCCCTTCGCATACTCATCCATCGGCTTCAGGTTCGACCTAGCCGGGCCTTCAATGCAAAACCCGCCACAACTAAACCGACTATCATGGACTGGACGATCCCAGCCCTTTTTCGTGTCGTTCCAGCTTAACACGGCCTTCGCATGAGGGCACAAAGCGCTAAACCGGTGCGCCTTGCCCCCGTCATCTTTATATACAACAATCGGGTCCGTTGGGACCTCCTTCATGACTTCTCCAGACCCAGCCGCAACATCCTCGATGCCCTCCATGTCAGACTGCACCTGGCGCTTGTAATGCGCGCTGACATGGGCATCGTGCTGCCACATCCAGGGCATGGACTTGGCCACACTTGACAGCCGATTAGTGTTATACAAACTGGCGCAGGGATTAATTTTGCCTTGGATCTCATCCGCAATGAGACATCCAGCCAGCACGCCATGCGTGAGTCCGTTGCCACCATCTCCAGTGACATTATAGGTATGAGTCTTGCCCTGGCTTCTCCCGATGAACCCTATGAAATCCACCGGCCCGAAGACCTGTCCGCTCCAATGGTAGTCCACCGATCCAGCATGCGTAAATCGCTCGCGGACCCAGGCCTCCAGCTCTTCGAAGCGGCCGCTGGTATTCATCTGACCGACCCTGTGATCGTATCCACCAACAACCAGATAATCGTTCTTCTCATCGCACTCGGTCAATCGGACATATTTATAATCCTGCGCTCCATTGCAGATGAGACAGTCTTCGATCGATCCTCTCCGAACCCGAATGGCAATGCAGTACGTCCGCATGGACTCCATCACCGCGAAGACGCCCAGCTTCTGCTGTGGCACACAGGTCGCCTTGACCACATCTGCTGCGGTGATGGTATATCCGTTCGCCGTGCGCACCTGGACCAAGACCCGCTCCTCAGCCGACACCATTCTCGTTTGAGTAAAGCACTGGAAATTGGGCTGCTTCCTTAGCCATTCCAATACGCCAACCGAATACTTGGTCGGATGGAATGTTGCCTGGTTGGCGAAGATCGCACCACCCCGCTGATCAGAACTACCATCCCACCCTTTTATTATCAGTCCCTCCCGGAAAGAGACAGGAACTCTGATGGTCTTCGCCATTTCGGTCTCCTTCCTCAGACCAGCAACTTCCTTCTCATGGTTTGGGTCATCTCGAGAGTACTGCGAGATGCCATAACCAGGAAGCATTCGAAACTCGCAGTCAATATGGAGAGATCTTGATATCTCTTTAATGCGCCGAAGTGCCCAAGTATGGCTCTCAGCAGCTGCTCGGAGCCCGTCAAAGCCACATTTTCCTCGATCCCGACGTATCCTTCCTCCAAATAATTCGACAGATGACTGCCCGTTCGACTGGTCACACCAGATAGGACATTGCCGGCTTCGATCATGGTGACTCTCTTTCCACGATCGACGAGTTCGTACGCGATGGAAATCCCGGCGATACCGGCACCCACAACGCAGATGTCTGTTTCGACATGTCTGTTCAGAGTTGGAAATTGTGGGTATTTGGAGTAGGGCATGAGATGAACCCAGACGGGATCCGTCTCGCCAGATGTATTCATCGATTGCGTAGAGTGGGACATGGTCTGGTTGTGTTGGGGTTATCGAGCGTAGTGGATGTAAGTGGTAATTGATGCGTGTAGTAACGTGTTTTATTTGTTCTATAGCATATGAAGTGACCGTAACTGAGCATATAAATAATAGGAAGGGGATACTGTGATCAAGTGATGAAGCTATGATAGGGGCTCTTATCCGCCATCGCATTCCTAGATTATGATGAAATAAAAAGCCAATTTGACCTAAAACTGGATAAGGATAGGCTTCGCTCCACAGGAACAACCCTGAAATTACAGGATTTGTACTCAACATCCAGGATCGCTGCTCATGAAGCATCACCAGGGTTGGCGTGCGCGAGTCGAGCCGTTATGATCGACAGAGGCTCCATATTTTAGACTAAGGCTGCCATCTACGCATCTTGCTTTAGTTCATGTTTCCAATACTGGGAATACGATTGGGTTAGAGGATCGCAATCTGCTTCTGCACATAATGTAGTTTTCTTCTCTAACTCAATCTAATTTGGACCATTGCTAGCGAAAAGTATGACCGTCTTCTAATTTCCCTTGATAGCCCAACCTTACCACCATTTCCCACCCACCGAACCACAACCACAAAATCAAAACCACATGCCAACCACAAACCACCATCAACCAAACCACCCCCTCCTGCTATTTTTAACATCACCAACAGAACGTAATCAACAAAAAAGTCCATCCCACAATAAGCCACCCAGATAGAATAAGACACGGAATCCCACCCGCTCATAGGCCACGCCAAAAAGTAATGACATCACGCTGACCTCTCCAGACTCTAGACTCGAGTGACGCCATCCCGACCACCACAACAAACCCTAATCCAATCCAATCCCCCAGGGAGATAACCTAAGGTAATGGTTTATTTATCCTCTACCCGATCCAACCCCAGGAAAACACACACAAACACACACACACACACAATAAATAAACGCCTCAATTGACTTCCTCCCCAAACCTCCCCCTCCAAGCATCCCCCCTTCCCCCCGCAGAACTCCAGAAATCCAACAAAAATGCCCCGCCGTGTCTCCTTCTCCGAAGCCAACCACCACACGAAACCCATCAAACCCCCCTCCATCACAATAACCTTCCCGACGACCGCCAAAAACTGCCCGGCCACGAAAACCCGCCCGCCCGCCACCTACACCACCGACTACATCGACAAGCCGGGCGTTGCGCGCGGCAACACCGCCATCTCGATCGACCGGCCCGATGGCGCCGAGGAGGCGTATACGCGCCGGTTTGGGGAGTTTGTTCGTCCCTCC